TACCATCAAAACCAAGAAAATTCCCAACTGATCACCATAGTTGCCTTCTGTCCAGTTGTTGTAGTATTACTAAGTATTGATTGCCCTGTGTCAGCCTTCTATAATATTGACTGCCTGTCGTCACCATTCACTAGATCGGATTCCCCTGCTAACTTCCCAGGGGGGGACAGGCAGAGACACCCGAGTCACAGCCATGCTTTGGGCGACGCAGGGTGAGACGCACATGACACCTATTTATGTTAAATTCTGTGACCTTTTGCATCTTACTACTATTGTTTTATGTTATAAATGTTACCTAATTGGAAAAGTAAAAAAAAAAAAAAAGAAAATGCTAGGTAGCCATCCCTGGAGTGAGGGTAGACAAGAAGAGGGTGCAAAGGGGCTGCAGAAGATTGGCAGCACTGAGATGCAACACAGTATCAGAAAGAGGTGAAGGAGTTTTTTCTATTATTATTGTACACAATGCCTTGAGAGACAACCAAGACTGCTATTACAAAATAAGAAGCAAACTACAATCCCTAATTTTCCAAATCACACTGATACTCTACTGTCCCTAACTTTACCCACAAAAAAAGCTATTCCTTCCACAGGGCTTGACAATTCCCTATTGCTAGATAGCCAATGCATCCTGGACATTTTCCCTGACATCATTAAATATATATCCATATGGCACATTAAAATTACCTTGTATGTTAATCCTAAATATACTGCTGTGAAGAAGGAAAGTGTGGTGGGGAGTACTGTAGTTTGTTCTAATTTCAGAAATATTAAGTTTAGACCATAGTGTAGTCTTGTGCACCTTTGTGTAGTTTAGCTAGCTCTAGCTCTAGCACTGTGTGAGAGGCCACCATAGAACCTCACTGTAGAGAGAGGTCATCAGATATTCCACAGACTGATTTCTTTACAGCTACCCTGTGTAATATGGGTAGAGCTAAAAAGCTATAATTCGTCCGGTATTGGTTTTTATCTTCACAATTGAAATAATGATATTGATGTAAATAACTTTTGCCAAGTTAACCATGGTGGCAAAACCACAAGCACAATGATTTATGACGACTGTAAGGGTTATAGTGCCACAAGATGGTCTTTGTAAAGGAACCAGATCACATAAGTAATGCTTAACAAAGTATGTTCCACAGAATGGAACTTGTGATGTGAGTAAGGCAGGAAATAGTGCTATTAACAACTCCAATATCCAGCACACAGAGGCCAAGTGTATGCATGACTTTGTGTTCATGATGGTGTTGTATCCAAGTGGTTTGCAGATGGCCCCATATCGGTCAATAACCATGATGGCCAATAAGTTAAACTCTGTAACGCATAATGTATGGAATATGTAGAGCTGAGCAAAGGACCCACGGAAGGAGGTTCTCTAATTTTGGTTATCCACATGGCTAGATGATTGGGTGCTGTAGTGGACACATAACGTATCTCCAGGAAAGACAGATTGGTAATAAAAAAATATATTAGGCTATGAAGGTTAACGTGATAACACACCACCAAGATTGTCAATATATGTACATAGAGAGTTAGAAGGTAAATGACAAACAAGACAGTGAACATTGCAAGGTTGTACTTACAAACAAATTTGACTGGTTTGCCATGACAACTTGATTTCTGTATGTATGAAAAGCATATTCTTGGTTCACTGCTTTGGCAGTCAGCTAATAAAAAAAGACTCATAAAATACATGATATAAGAAGTTTATATAATGATTTATTAAAAGCTTTGAAGCTATGGCTAGATCCTTCAGCTCCTTAGTGAATAACCCTCTTAATGTTGCCATTTGATCACATGATTTCATCCAAATTGGAGTGTCAAAGTTCAAAACCTCAAGTGATGGGCTTGTAGTATCTGAACATCAATGACCCTAAAGCCCTTCCGCTGAGGCAAGGTGATCACATTCTATTATTGGTTTTGTCATTTGGTGATATCATCAACTGCTGTGAACACTTAAACAGCATAGTTTTTCAGGAAAGGCACATTTTTTAAGCCCCTTTTATTTTTTTCGATCAGTGTTTTGGGAGACAATACAAAAAGGGAGTGGGTTTTTTGAAGGCACTAAACCACACAATTGTAGAATTCAATGTTTTATTATTTATACAAGAATTAAAAAGGCATTAAAAGATTGCAGAAACATCTGCATCGGAAATTACATGATTCACAGTGTTTGTATTAATGATTTACATGGCATAATTAGAAACCTCCTGGGTCTCCCCCATGATTCAGGAGGAAAGCTTGAGATATCACAGATTAAATATATTAGCATGAACAGTATTAACTCTTAGGGGGTCTATTCACTTAGCTGCCATAAGCAGCCAAGTGAACGATCGACCTGAAGCGAAGTGAGCCGAACGCTGTTCGGCTATTCACTTCAGGCTGGTACTGCTGATTTCAGGTGGCTTTGTGTGGCTTCGGGTCGGCCGAACATGCTCAGCAAGACTCTAAATTGTCAATTTACTAAAGGCAAATAGGATGTTCATTTTGCAAGGCAATTTGTATTTTGCAGGGGATGTTTCCCCTTAGCTTGGATGCAGCAAAACTTCACTTTGCAAAGAATAGACAATCATGTGCTAGGAAAATGTAAAAAAAAAATAACAGCTTGCTTGTGCATGATTGGATGATGGAAGTCAGCAGAGCTTCAATTCATTGACTAAACTAAGGGGAAACTTCCCCTGCAAAGTGCAAATTTCCTTGCAAAGTAAGCAGCCTATTTCCCTTCAGTAAATCAACCCCTAAAGTGAGCCAGATAGGCATATTTTTAGGGTGGGTGCAGCCTTGTGTTTCCATTCAGCTGTGGACAGGAAACCTGTAAAAACCAATGCCAATGACTGTTTGCATGTAATCATTTATGGTGAAAATACCTGCAGTTAGGGAAAGATGAGCAGCTCTAGATGCACAGCCTGCTTCCAGAGCCACTCATCTGTCTCTAGCCACAGGTAATCACCCCTTGAGCATGCGAATAGCTGTGGACAGTGACATACTGTCATTGATTTGGTCAGGCTTCTAAGCAACACTAATGGAAGTGTCAGTTTCAAAAGTCACTTCAGGAGAGGATTTCTCTACAATGCTATTTACTCATATGCCGAGCTAAATAAGCACAATTCAGCGAAATAAGTGATGAACAATGAAATATATGAGTATATGCTTTAAAAATAGATACAGAAAAGCACATCAAAACATGAAAATATGTGAACAGAGTGAAAAACACAAAGTGTACACAACATCTTGTCGTAGTCCACAGAGTGTGTGCCTTGTGGGCTGGCTTAGATGGTAAAAGTGGTACAATAAAATAGCATCACCACCTAAATGTGAGAGGAACATGTGGAGAAGGCCTTGCTTCATCCTGAGTTTGTCTTCATTTGTATAGCTGAACATATAAACTGAATGTCCATTACTACTATAAATCCAGAGTTGAAGGAGAACTATGGGGCAACCTCTGTTGCCCATAGTTCTCCTCAGGGTCATGGGAGGACATGTACTATGCCCTCCGGTGACCCAAAACTCAGTATATAGTGGGCTAATGCCTGCTATCTGCTGAGAGCGCCGCAGCTGGGATGGATCCTGACAATACTGTCAAGATTCACCCCACTGGCTGATTGACAGCTGGCTCTGCCTTTCTAGGAGCAGAGCCAGCTATGCCCACCCCTCCCCTGTCCATTCATCCAGTCAGCGGTGGAAAAATGGAGGAGGAGGGGGAATCCCTGCGGGAGCGGTGACTTACAGTCACCGCTCTCTGCCAGAAGGGGATCGGGAAGTCGGCGATCAGTGGTGTGTTTTCACTGACTTCCCGATCAATATAGCCAACATATGACAGCTTATTTGTCACAGGTCGGCTAAACCATTTGTGTTGTTAAAGGAAGTATTGAATACAGTCCAAACTTAGCAAAAAAAAGCTAGATCATAGAAGTTTTTTGTAAATTTACTTTTTATTTGCTGAGATAACAAAAAAGATATCTGAAAAAGTAAGTATAAAAAAAATGCAGTGAGTGTGGGAGGGAAGGGGAAGCACTTGGGATGAGAGGACTGGGCCTGGGGGTTATGTATAATCTAACAAGATAGTAGAGATTTAAAAAGCTTTACATATTTTCAGTTTTGTTTATCTTCTTGTTTTAATATTTTGCAAAGACTTGCAATTTTGACCTACACAGATTTGTCATTTAACTCCACACAATTTCATAAATTATATCAGTGTTATTAATTTTACTAATAATTAATTATATGAATTAATCACTAAATAATCATATTATGCATATAACATGCTACTAATAGCAAAACACTCTTTTATTTTATAGAGCTTTTGCTTCCAGGAAATATATGGTATTGAAGGTATTATTTAACAATTTTTCAAGTCCAACCGTATGTGCACTTCAATGTTTAAGAAAAGGGCTAACAATTCAGTATGTAAATTCTCACATTGGTGGAGATTTGTGTTTAAAACTGGATTCCACTATCTCCAAATCTACTTTTCCATAAAATAAATAAAAATATGTAAGTAAAAAATATGTTTACTTGTATATAATGCTTTCTTTAAAGTGAACCTGATGTGGTCTTTAGTAGCAAGTGTGTTGACGTACAGACAGCTTTTTTGTGTGTCTGTAAATACCTATGTTAGTGTTTTATATTTATTCCTGTGCCCCTGCGAAATTCCTTGGATTTTAGGTCTAGGTTGCACATGGGCCTCAATGTTTGCGCAAGTGTAGTTTATGTCTTCCCCCCTCCAAATACTAAATTGTACCGCATGTAAATCTACTGTTAAATTTAAAGGGAGCGTGTCCAGTCTACTAATGTTCTAGCATTTGACAGTTAAATAGAATGGCATGAGGTTGTAATTTTGGGCATATAGCAAGAAAGAAGAAGCCATGTAAAGTCTGGCTAGAGTCCCATGTATTGATGTAAAGACTAATACAGGTAGGGCACCTGTACTGTAGCACCATTGTTATCTTAGAAATATATTGGACAGATCAGGTTCACTTTATGCACAACAAAAATGCTTTATATTATCCATTTATTTTAATTCTAATTCTTTGAATTCCTCTTTTTAAACCTGATAATACTTCTTGATTCTTCAGGCTATATATAATGGGATTTAGGAAAAATATTTTGTCAAAATCCCCAGAATGAACTTCTTTGGGGCTAGCATACACAATACAAGCTGCGCCATAGAAAAGGGTCACCACAGTCAGGTGTGAAGAGCATGTTGAGAATGCCTTCATTCGTCCTGTGCTGGTCTTTATCTTCACAATCGAAATTATGATATTGATGTACATTGCAATAACTATAGCCAGGTTGAACATGGTGGCAAAACCACCAACACAACGATTTATGGTGACCGTAAGGGTTATATCACCACAAGATAGACTTAGTAAAGGAGCAAGGTCACAGAAGTAATGGTTAACAAAGTATCTTCCACAAAATGAAACTTGTGATGTGAGTGAAGTGGGAATAATTGCCATTAAGAATCCCAAGATCCAACACATGGAGGTCAAGCATATACATGACTTTGTGTTCATGATGGCGTTGTATCTAAGTGGTTTGCAGATGGCCACATATCGGTCAATGGCCATGATGGCCAATAAATAACACTCTGTAATGCCAAATGTATGGAACATGTAGAGCTGAGCAAAGCACCAGCGGAAGGAGATTCTCTTATTTTTGGTTATTAGCATGGCTAGAAGGTTGGGTGTTGTAGTGGACACATAACATATCTCCAGGAAAGACAGATTGGTGATAAAGAAATACATTGGGGTATGAAGATTTATGTGATAACACACCACCAAGATTATCAATATATTTCCAAAAAGAGTTAGAAGGTAGATGACAAAGAAAACAGTGAACATTGCAAGGTTGTAGTTTTCAACGCTGACAAATCCTTCTAGTATAAAGTCATTAAAATTTGACTGGTTTTCCATTACAACTTGGTTTATGATTACATGAAAAACATATTCTTGGTCACTTCCTTTGTCATTCATATATTAAAGAAGACTCCTAAAATACAAAATATAAAAAGTCTACATTCATTTAATAAAAATAATGAGGTTGATTTCCTTACCGAATATAGGTTTTCACCAAGGAAAAAAATAATTTGGCAAAGTGAACATATACATTTCTAGGTGTTCCTATTCCGTTAGTTAATCAACCTCAAGTGTTTTGTAGAATGATAGAATATATTATTTCTTTTGGAATGTCTGAGAGTGAAACATTTAAAGTCTATATTAATATTACAGCAGTAAAATACCTGTATTCTACAATATGGATTTTGTACCATTATTCTGTAATATCACAGTCTTAAAGTTTGCATAACGCCATATTTCTTTTTCGATAGAACAGGAAACTACTAAAATCCCTATCAAGTTTTCTGTACTGTCTGTGTCACTCTGAGGAGATGTTTTTTTCTTCATCCCTCAGAGCCCAGCAGGAAATGGGAGAAAATCTATCTAGAGTAGAGGAAATCCTCTTATACACTGTTTTCACCCAAGTGTCTTCATTGGAACATTTCACCTCTATTACAGTGTAGGTGACAACTAAAAATGTTGAATTTCTCATCACTTTCATTCCAAGTAATATCCAGATAAAATAGAGATAGTGTATCTCTGCAGCAGACACTAAGGCAGCAGATATAATAATATAAAAACCCTAACCCTTTCCTATTCCACCAAAAATATAAAAATGTTTTCTAGTCCTCAGTACCAGACCATGATCACCCTCTGTGGCAGTTACACACTGGTTGGTAGGTAGTGTCGCTTGGCTGCACATCTCCCCAAGTGTATCATAGATATCATTGAAATGCCAAAACTCAGCAGAACCTCCACTTACAAAATATTTTTGGTAACAAAGCAGTGTAAAAAAAAAAACTGTGATCGTGCTTATGCATGTCACACAATCCTAGACTTAGTCATAGCAGAGCAGCCTATGATGGCACTTTAAGTCAAGTTTCTAAAAATTAGCAACATGTTCAAATGCACTAAATATTGCTAGTTGATCAGTTTTTTAAACAAATGTAAAACAACATATTTTGCTACATAATTAACACAATGGAAAAACATTTGCATATTTTTTTGTTTTACTGAAAAACAGTTAACAGTTAATGCTTAGAGTTATTTAAATAGTCTCCAGACTATGGGCAAATAAGTATTTACATATTCTTAGAAGGCAGTTAAGAACCTATAAAAAAAAGCAATCCCTTAAGCAATCCCCTAAGTCTCCAGGTGTATTTTCTCTAAAGTAATTCACTCTCAAGGATCCTCGAAGACCACCAAAAAGACTCTAAAGCCTGTGGACTGAAAATTATGCTTGCCATGGAAAATAACTAAGAATTTTGTGACTCTGTTTTGAACCTTGAGGGTGAATTTCTCCACAAGGCCTATAGCTACAGAGGTACATGATGACTTTAACTGCTTGTTCCAAACATAAAAATACTTTAGTGTATATAGTTTTGGAACAAGTTCACTTCAACTTCATATAACATATCTAGTGTCTCCTCAGTCTAGCTAACTAGAATCCACATGCGTCAGATATCTGACAAGAATGCATGAGACAATACAAAGAATTGTTGGTGCAGTACAGCATTTTAATGTCATAACTCAAATATTACACAGTGTGAGCAAAATAGTAACAGAATACTTTACAGAGGACATGTTTAAGTAACATTGGCATAGAGTAACCTTGGTGTTTCTACAATAACTGTTTTTCACAGATTACAAAGTGGAACACTGGACAAAATGAATGATTACATATTTACTGACACTAGCATTAATATAGCAGTTATTTCTTTTCTGAATCCCCCAGTAGCATGGTTTTATTACTTATTGATCCTGCTACAGATCTGTAAAATTTCCACTGTCTTTTCATCTTCTTTAACAGGGTGACAGCACTGTTAGTACTGCAGTGAAATAATACAGCAGCACTGTCATCCTATTTCTAAACAATAGTTTCTAAATGACCGAGTGTCTAAATACACATACGTCTAAATACACATACACGGTACATGTGACATTTCAGTTAGTGTTGGGATAAGAGGTCACTTGAAGATGCTGCCCTGCCAACTGCCTAACCTCAAACAATTACCCAGCTACACAGTTTTCTCACAAATAGGGTTTCTATTATTTCACTTTATTCTATTGTGCTATTCATGGTCAAATAGCTTTATAGGACAACTCAACATCTTCCTGCAGGAGACAACTCAAATAAATAATTGCACATGCTGCAGTTTGACAGTGATAAAATGTGTTCAGGCTCACAGATAGGATAAGCACTCACTGTACCATTGCATAGTGTGTTGTGTATATTACAATTTTGCTGCATCCAAGACATGAAAAGGTCAAAACGTTCTTTTTTAAAGCTTACAACTGACAGGATGCAAAATTAAATATAGCAGAAAAATGCATGTAAAACTGCTTCACTAGTAATTGAAATACAGGAAGCTGCATTCATTTTTAAAGTGACTCTGTCATTTGGATAAATGTGAGATCAAAAGCTGTAGCTGGAAAGAAGACAGTAAACATCCACCTCTCTGTCTGTCTCCACTGACGTCTGTGCAGAAACCAACAATTTGTCAACCTAATGTGTCCTCCACTGCACTCAGTGGATCCTTCCACCTACCCCACCATCACTACTGTGAGGGCAGAAGAAACCATTAAGTGCAGTGGGAGATCTAGGAGAGTGTGAGTTCCTCCACATACTTCAGCAGTGAGTATTTACAATCATCTTTCCAGATACATTTATTATCAATTTTATTTAGGTGATAGGGTCTGTTTACGCTTAGAAGTGTGATTAGGACTAGAATTACAAATCAGTTTTGTAGCACATCTTACATACACATGGCCACAAAAATGTATGACAGGCTAAGAACGCCTAAAAATGATATCTACGACTGTATAAATAATTTTTTGTTATGACTTTAGTTTTTATAATCTTTTTGTATTATCAGTTTGTGGCCTCCTTCACATATCCTTTAGTTCTCAACTATTTTCTTTTTTCCCCCCAGTAATGCAAAAATTGCAATTCAATGTACTTACCTTATTTAAGTTCTGTTAAAGCATAACAATTGTGATTAATGGTATTTATACATGGGTAAGTTGCCTCTAACCCCCCCCCGTAGAAATGTAGCAAGCTGTCTTTTAATTGGTATCTCATGGGACATCAGTAACATCTGTATCATTACACCTAAACTCATGTAATTAATCTTCCAAGCATTGTTACATATTTGTTAATGCACTAAGTATTAAATAGTGTAATTATATGCATTATTACATAAATAATGTTTCATGAGACAAAGGTTTCTATAAAGTGTATGTCTTGTGAATTGTGACCCATCATAATCACTAAACTAGAAACTAAAGCTGGCCATACACCTATAGATTTTTTTTTTTTTTTTTATCAGCCTATGGTCAGATGGAAAAAGTGCAACAGATTCCTCCATCTAGGCTAAACTGTGTGGATGGAGGAATCTTCAGTACCAAGCTTCAGTATCTTGCTAGTTGGCCCCACTGGCTGTCAAAATACCTGAACAATCTGATTGGATGCAGGCATTGTTCATTGTTTGTTGAAAAACGCTGTTTTATTCAATCACCTATGTTCACTCATCATATGACACTCTATTCTTGGAGGGAACACCAGTGAACCATTTTTTCCTCAACCTCTGCAAATATCTAGTGTGAAAAAAACCTTTGGGGTCTACATTCTACATGAGACATATTAATTCTAATGACCAAGTAGTGCCTGTAAGGTCCAGACATACCCACTATTATCTTTGGCATGAGTGTCTGAGTTTAGCAGCCATTTAGCAGCCCTTCTTGGCTTAAGGAAAGCAGGCCTACCAGTACGAGTTTGACCCAGGAATTAATGCTCAAAGCTATATACTGAATGTTGCAAACAGATCCAAGGTATACAATAGTAGATTTAACATACAGTGGTGAAAGACACAAGACTCTCTGGTGGAGATGGTGACTGGCAGCTGGTGTAATCCTTGAAAGTGGCAAAGGACAGGGCTGGCTGCAGGCAGTAGAGGAATCCTATAATGTAGCAAAGGTAAGGGCAGGCAGCAGGCAGTAGAGGAATCCTATAATGTAGCAAAGGTCACGTAACTAAGCCCAGAGTCCGGCACGTAACTAAGCCCAGAGTCCGGCACGTAACTAAGCCCAGAGTACGGCACGTAACTAAGCCCTGTGTCAAGCTAGTCACTAAGCCCAGAGTCCAGCGCATTACTAAGCCCAGAGTCCAATTCATATACTGTTCTGCATTGCTGTATAAATGTATTGCTGGGATTTGTAGTCCCCCTACAGGCCGTGCCATTCTGCATTAGAGTTTAAGCTCCTCTGTACAGGGAATGATGTGACTGGCTCAGTGTTCTCTGTACAGCATTGCGGTATATACAGTATTTGTGGTCGGGTATATATACCGTATAATATAGTGTGGGCTGAGTTGTGCCAATAAGCTAATGTGGCCTGAGGTGTGCCCGTGGCCACGCTGTTAGGTACGCCTAAAATGGGGGAATACCAAATGAGAAGGTGATGGAATTTTAAGTTATAAAGAGGAATGGGTGGGTGGGGACATATGCTTCCCCTACAACGTCAGGCAGGAAAGGGAAGAGGAGGAGTTTAAATAGCCATAATCCCCTCCCACAAATACAGGTTAATAAATTAACCTTCATACTTGTGGTCGGGTATATATACACCATATAATATAGTGTGGGCTGAGTTATGTCAATAAGCTAATGTGGCCTGAGGTGTGCCCGTGGCCACGCTGTTAGGTATGCCTAAAAGGGGGCAAAAATATACAGATAGATTAGTATATAACAGGTGATTTGAGTAACATAACAATGACTACAGAATGAGTCATATTACATAGCTAAGTCGATGAATACCAATGCCCTTTTTATCAGAGTGTTAGGTAGGACGTGAATAGCACGAGG